ATTCTGGCGGCCCCTGTGGGCAAAAATGTTTAATTGATTTCAAGCGGAATCTGGTCCAGTGGCAGGCATTAAGAACAACTATATAGAAATAGCTCACTGATGGTCTTGTTTGTTTATGTAGGTCAAATAGAGGCATCAGTATTAAATTGAGACGGTTTCATAACTAGTTAAATGTAGAAATTAAATAGATAGAAAATTAATTACCCTAGAATCATCACTGTCATTTATATTTAAGAATTGAGTTTAAATTTCTTGTACTGTTTTTTGGTATCATTGGTTGTATGAAAGTCAATATTATAATCAAAGATCTGGCAAAGAGCATGTTTAGTTAACAGTTTTTACAGTTACAGTTTTTGTTTAATAAATCTGTGCTTGTATTAAAGCAGTGAGGGGTTCATTTTGATTTGTTTAAAACATCACCACTTTTTGTTCCAGCGCTTATACCTCAGTCAGCATATACAGTGCGATCACGTGGCCTGCAAATGACTCAGTGTGCACCTGGTCTCTGTGCCCTCTTGCAGTCTCCTGCTGTGAAGGAGGTGCTGAAGGATCAAGATGGCAGAAAAGGCCTGATTGCAGCCATCTGTGCAGGTACAGTTTGTAAAAGTCATAATTATACAGGACCAACTTCTACTCGTGATGCCTTTTTAAATATTGCGTGACCTCAAATTTGACCATCGTGTTGCTTTTATTCAAGGAGATGAAAATTACCCAACCTACATAGTTCAGTTTATTCTGGTGCTTGCTTTCCAAAATAGCATCTTTATATGTAATTGAGCAGCAAATGTACTTTCCATATCAAATCAAACCAGTTTGACAATCCAGTGATATAAATGAATAAACCTTCTTCTATGTTACCATGTGACCTGTAAACATTTTTAACTAGAAACAACACCAAACGTATGATATTGTGGCTTTTAAACATACCAAGCTAATGTTGTGCCGGTAAATGGGATTTGAATTTGCCTGCAACCAGAATTAAAGATCTTGGACAGAAAAAAGGTACAGTTTTTTATATGCACATGGCAGTGGATTTTCTGGTATTTTAGTAATTGGATGTGCCCTTAAAAGAGTTCATCACACACCTTAACCACATTTTTGAAAAATGTACACTGTTAACAAACGACATGCTTCGTTAATTTATGGTCATGTGTGACCCCTTTCTGGCATTTGAAATGAAAGAGTGAGGGTTTGATTAATAACTGTCCCTGAGTGAACCCCACAAGCGCTGACATTTTATTTGACAGCCTCCGTATGCAGAGAAAGGACACTGGAAGGACATTCTGAATAGGGACAGGGACCAATGCGGCAAAGTGGATTGAAGGGTGTCCTAGAAAATGACTGAAATCCTCACAGGAATATACAGTTTAATGAACCTGCCAGCAAGAGGGCTACTTGGAAGACTCATTATTCTGCCCTAACATGAAAATTATCATCTTGACATGTAAAAAATGTCCATTGAAAAAGGACTTGGTTTAAAAGGCTGAACAATAATGAAAAATAAAAATAACCCAGCAGGATAAGTTTACCGTTGTATACTTCTCTTTTTTAGCTAATATTTGTTATATGCATGTCCACAAAACATATTTTTAGCATTCATCAGATGATAGATGAGTATTATCACCCTTCTCTCTCTGCATCTGCCTCGATGTCTGACTCTAGTTCTAAGAAGGTCTCTCTCTCTCCCAGACTGGCGTCCTCTGGGTGGGGACTGGCTGTAACAGGAGTAGCCTGGCTTTAACTGGCAGTCTGCTGTTCTGCCAGGGGAAAGTGTAATCTTTAGACTGCATGGGAAGGCAGCCAAGGAGCATAATCAATAACTTTCTATTTATTAACAGTTTTTGGATGAGCTCACTGCAGTGCTAGGACATTGCCAAAGTTAATGCAGCAGCAGTCAGTGTCTTCTGCCTCCTTTTATTTTTTTCTTCTTTCTAATGTGGTGCAGAGTCGTTGGAGAGAGGCTGAAACTTTATACTGTATGTGTATATTCTTAGAAACAATGTTAGAGTTGAGGACACCTTTTCAGGACATAGTGTTGCCAACAAATATTTTGTTACTTATGTCATTGATGTCTAGCACTAACTGTAATCCCTAATGTTAAATGCAGCATTTCCTGTATTTTCTGTACTTGTGATTTAAAGAGACAGTATTTCACCCTATTTGGCTCTGTAACCTTTTTTAAACTGCATTAAGATGAAAAGTGGGAGTGACACTAGCAACAGAACATGTTCTTAAGTGTCACTTTCTGACAAGAAGCTGTTAAATGAGCCTTAAAAAGCTTTGCCCTTCTGCAGGTCCCACTGCTCTCCTGGCACATGGCATCGGGTACGGAAGCACAGTCACTACACATCCTGCCATGAAGGAGAAGATGATGGCTGGAGGTAAAATAAAAAATAAAACCATACAAATAAAAGGGAGGGAAATAAAATGTACAGTTAGTGGCTTTAACATTTGCAGCTCTAACTCAGAACGGGAGGAATTGTAATCATTTGTAAAGGGCAGCAGATGGCGCTGTACTAACTCTTTCTTGCCTATAGAAAATCATGTCACTATGCAGTAGAGGAGAGCACACCACTCAGGTGAAAGTGGATGCAGGAATTTGGCAGAACATACTAGAAGTGGGTCAGTTGAAATGGTGATAGATTATCTGTGTGTACGTGCTAGTGTGGTATCTGCTGTCAGTCTGTAGCTTGAAGATCCCATATTGTGTTTATCCTTATGGTATTGCTCTTTGTCTGTTTTTAGACCACTATAAATATTCAGAGGCTCGAGTACAGAAGGATGGACATTACATCACCAGCCGTGGGCCAGGAACCAGCTTCGAGTTTGCCCTGACGATTGTAGAGGAACTTATGGGGGCTGAGGTTGCAGCACAAGTCAAGGCTCCTCTTGTTATGAAAGACTGAATGTAGCTGTGTTCACTTATATCCTGCAAGCAGCAATGCCCGCTATATACTGCAAGTCTGGTACTACTGACACAGCTAATCCAATGTAGCTGGCACAAGGAGTCAAAGTCACTAGAGACAAATCACGCTCCCCTGGGGACATATGGATGTTTCTGTTCTGACAGGTTATTGTCTTTCTTAGTCGGCAATGAAAGGCACCCTTTTGTTATTAAACACTGAAAAACAACCTGGATAATCACTGCACGGGGTTTCCAAATGAGATTAAAATCACTTTGTTTAATTGTAGTTTCCCCCTCCAAATGCTTGCTTATTATATTAACAGCTCATATTGTTTCACTGGTCAATAAAACATCAATGTGACAAAACTCTGCTGGTCTTGTTCTACGGGTGTATTAATACCTAGAGGTCACTGTGACTTGTTTTTAACATGCTTGCACTGGTTGTTGACACCTAAATATAGGCTGCATAATGTAATGTATTGTGAGCGCCGCTTAGAACGCGGGAAGCAGAATCCAAATAGATTGACAGGTGTCTCGACCAATGAGGAGCCTCTGCCCGGCTGCGATTGTGTTCTAATTGACGAATGACAGCTCGCAGCCAGCCGGCGGGGCGGGGCTATGATGCAGCGCGTGGTCGTTGTGTCAGCAACAGAAATCCAGAGAGGGTCTTCACACAGTCAGAAAAAAGAAAAAAGGAAGAGAAGGATTTCGCGAAAGGTAAGAGCATTTGTGCTTTCTCCCGTGAGTGTAAGTGTGTTTTACGCGTACACGTTTAACCAGTGATAGTTTAACAGCGTTCACATAATGTTCATGTCTGCTGTTTTATGTCGGCAAAGCAGTTTACGCAACGTTAATCACGGGAACTAAGGACATCGCAAATTGACGTGACATTCTTACGCTACACGGTAGCAACACGGACAAGCCTCGTTAAAAGAGTGGGTGTTTTGTAATTAGGATTATTTTTTTTTGCTGCTGTTGTTGTTGGCTGTGATTAGCTCGCTGTGTGTGCTGAGTGCTGAGCTTCCAAGTTCGCTGCAAACCCAAAGGTATAACACACACACACACACA